ATAAAAGAGGTGTGTTAAAGTCATCAAAATTATTGTGTTGTGGTCTATTTGACTTGAACTTGAGAAGAGTTTGTTTGATGAGCATAGAGGCTCCATTTCTGGGGGCATACATATTTATAATTGTTAAGTCTTGTTGGTGTATGGTTCTCTTGAGCAGTATGTTGTGTCCTTCTTTATCCTTTTTGATTGACTTTAGTTTGAAGTCTACTTTATTTGATATGGGGGTTGAAACCCATGCTTGCTTCCACAGTCCATGGGAGTGATGATTTTTCCTAACTCTTCACCTTCAATGTGTGAATATCTTTTCCTATGAGATGTGTCTCTTGAAGGCAGCATATTGTTGGGTCTTTTTTTATTTTTATTTTTTTAATCCAATCTGCTAGACTATGTCTTTTGATTAGTGAGTTTAGGTCACTAACATTCAGGGTTATTATTGAGTCATGATTTGTTTATTTTTGGTATTTAATGTGACTTGATTTCACCTCTGATTAGATTTTACTTTAGTATAATACCTCTCTCTGCTGATTTTCACTATTGTCTTTCATTTCCTCTTCTTGGAATATTTTGCTGAGGATGTTCTGTAGAGCAGGCTTTCTAGTTGTAAATTCTTTTAACTTTTGTTTATCATGGAAGGTTTTTGTTTCATCATCAAATCTAAAGCTTAGTTTTTCTGGATATAAGATTCTTGGTTGGTATCCATTTCTTTCAGAGCTTGGTATATGTTTTTCCATTATCTCCTGGCTTTGAGGGTCTGGGTTGAAAAATCTGCTGAGATACAAATTGGTCTCCCCCTATATGTGATCTGATTCCTCTCTCTTGAGGCTTTTAAGATTCTATCCTTATTCTGTATGCTAGGTATTTTCATTATAATGTGCCTTGGTGTAGATATGTTGTAATTTTGTATATTTGGTGTCCTGTAAACCTCTTGTATTTGGTTTTCCAATTTGTTCTTCATGCTTGGGAAATTTTCTGATATTATCTCATTGAAGAGATTGTGCATTCCTTTGGTTTGAAACTCTGTGCCTTCCTCTACCCAAATAACTCCTAAATTTGGTCTTTTGATGCTGTCCCATAATTCTTGTGTGTTCTGTTCATGGTTTCTTACTATCTTCACTGAGTGATCTGCTTTATTTTCCAGATTGTATACTTTGTCTTCATTATCTGACATTCTTTCTTCCAAGTGATCTCGTCTGTTGGTTATGCTTTCTATTGAGTTTTTAATTTGATTTATTGTATCCTTCATTTCAAGGATTTCTGACTTTTTTTTTAGAGTCTCTATCTCTCTCTTGAAGTATCTTTTGCTACCTGTGTTTGTTCTCTTATCTCTTTGTTGGAGTGATCATTTTTTGCCTGTATTTGTTCATTTAGGTCATTCTTTAATTCACAGATCATTTTAATTATGAACCTTCTGAACTCCTTCTCTGACATTTCATCAATTTTGCTGTCCATGGGTTCTGTTATTATAGTGTCCTGGTTTGTTTGGGGAACTTTCCTCCCTTGTTTTTTCATGTTGTCTATGTGTCTTCCTTTCTTGCAGTGTGGATCTGAGATGTTACAGTTCTTCCCTATATTCTTGTAGTATCCATGCAGATTGTCTGTACCTCACCTTGATGTTGGGCTTCCAGACCCTGCTGGTGTCCCTCAGTATATGCTACTGCATCTAAGGTTGGTGGTGGCAATAGCAGAGGTAACTCGAGATAATAGTTAAGGTGCCGAAGATGAAAGCTATGTCTTACAGAGATGGGGCTGTAAGAGTGGGCCTCACACTCCCTTTGGGATGCCTGCTCTGAGATGCAGCTGCTTATAGACCCTGTCTGTTGTCAAAAAGTTAGGGGCTACTGTGTGGGGTGGGAAGGGCTATGTTGATGACTGCAGTGTCTCAAAATGGAAGTGGGTTAGGCTTAAGCTCCCAGGTGGGAGGGGGTTGAACTCTGACCTACCCTGGACATGGTTCCTGCCCAAGTCGGTGTGGACAGATGTGGGTGGGACCTATTCCTGAAGTAGTCTTCTGTTCTGAAGAGGCAGACCTGTGCTGGAAGGTGGGCTCTGGTGGGTGTGGGTGGATCTGAGCCACAGGGTTTGACCTCCCTAGGTAGTCTGCTGGTCAGAAGAGGTGGTCCTGTGCCAGAGGTGAGGCTCTGGCAGGTGTCTACCCCGCTGGTGGAGGTGTCTCTATTTTCATTTCTAACATTTTGCATGATTTTTTAATGATCTTTACTCTTGCCTCACATTACTGACAACGTCTATGTATATTCGAAGTTATCTGTTAAGCTTCTTTTAATTATTGGTGTACTGCTTCCCATGGTATATGTTAAACTTTTCTTTCTGTTCCAGGGTATGTAATTTATCTTAGATCATGCTCCCCAAAGGCGATCAGTGGCCTTGTGTGGACAAATGGTTAAGACCAGGCTCTGGTTTGCATACCTCCCAGTGAATTTAAGGAAAGAAAACAAGACCTAGGCTGTGTAGAGCTTCCGACATTACAAAATCAGTTTTGACCATCACCAGTTGCTGTCACTGTACTAGGCCAGTCCTAAAGTCAGGAATCCACTCCTGCTACCCTAAAACTCTTTGAAAGAGGCATCACTGAGGGAAGGCACTCTCTTGGTGTTTCACATCCACCGATGCTGACAATTGCTGGAGGAAAAGTTGAGCAGAGAAGCCCAAGGGGACAGCATGCACCCATTGCCACCAGTTTCTTATCCTGGGGGGACTGCTGTGCTGGCTGATGTTACTGTGTTGACAACAGATGGCTGATCAGTGAATGCCAGTTTCTGTGGCTCTGGGGCAAGTCATGATCTTCCCAAGGCAATGTGAAGCAAGGCCTGGAGCAAATTTAAAAGGTCTCTCTCAACCTATTCTCTCTTGACTGCATTTGAACCTTTCTATCCTCGAGCTGCTGCTCACCTGTCACACCAGTTCACTAAAGCCTTCATACCCATCTACTGAAGGCTTTGGGTTTCTCACAGCTGTTTTGTCTTGGTTTGTTTGTTTCTTTCTTTCTTTGATAGGTCATTGGATTCATGCTTTTCTTTCCCTTCTGGATTTTCCCCAGAATAGAAAAGACCTAGACCCTTGCTGAGACCCCCCATAATTTGACCCCAACATCCTAGAGACTTTATAAATGTTGCCCTTAATCCTCACAATTCTGAAAACAAATTATCATTAACCCCATTTTAGAGAAGAGGAAATTGAATCTCAATAAAATGATTTTTCCAAAGTCACATGGGTAGGAAATGTAGTGGTGCCAGAATTTGAAAATATATCAATCTTCTATCAAAACCAAAATGGTTCAATTAAACCCCAAAATGGTTTAATCCATTAACCTTATATGATTAATGCTTAAATTTAGAATTGCTTTATTTTATTCAAGAAGTTATCAAACGAGGACCCAGAAAACATTAATGTTCTGTGAGCTGAAACTTGTTATTCATTCAAAAAAATGGTAGTCCTTTCTCAATTTGCAGAAAAACAATATGAATTATGGATAGGATTTTCTCAGTGTTGTGGTTATTAAATTTTTAGCACCTGCTGTTCTTTGTGTGCTAGCAAGTTCTAAAAGAAAGGTAATGACTAGGTTAAAAAAAAACAAGTAAAACAAACAAACAAACAAAACAAAAAATTCGTTTTGAGCAGCTGATTTCAATTAGAAATCAAGAAAACGTTTATCAGTTAACTTTTGTTTCCTGCTAACTGGGGAAAGATTGCCATTCATATCATGTAATGTATTTATACATTTGATGTATAAATATCTGAATACTCATCATTCATGCTAGTAAAATTAACTTATGTCTATATTTGAATATAAAATTGAATTCATGAATGGTTAATAAATGTGAATTTACTAATATAATATTCTCTCATATGTAAAGATGTAATTAAAATAGATTTTACTTTATTTTTCATAGTTATATATGCATATAGTACAGAATTCAAAGAATACAAAGGTCAGTGAAAAGTGAATCTACCTCTCTCCACTTCTGTCCTTCAGTAACCCAAGTCTTCCTTCTACAGTAGTCTTTGATATCAGTTTCTTATATATCATTCCACAGATATGCTAATATATGTAAACTCTTAGAAACACTTCCTCACAGCCTATTCTCTTTTGACAGAATATGACCTTTCCTATCCTCCAGCCCAAACTGCTGCTCATATTTCATACTAGTTCATATTTTTTAAAAGATTAATTTTTTCCTTGACAGAATTACTACATTAAACTTTTGTGATTGTCAGCAGCCACTGGAAATCGCTCTGATTCTTTAAATAACTTTGCCTGCTAAAAATAAAACTAAAATGAGTTTTTAAAGTATTTAAAATGTTAAACATATGTGAAGTAGAGACCCACAAAATGAATATATACTCATCATCTTGATTTAAAGATACTTAAAAATGATTTCTAAAGTGTCTTATGCTCTTGCAAATATTCAGAGTCTCCGTCATTGGGTGAAATAAAAAGGATTGTGTATTCAGCTACAAGTGCAGCAGCCCCAGGGTCTTCCAGTGCATTCCGTGAAGATAGCTGGGAGGAACTTGAGTATGGAATGCCTTGTGTGTCACCTTAGCCACTTGGTCCCGACTACAGATTCAGCATAAAATTTTTCATACTCTTTCTAATAGTAAAAAATAATTTGACAAATAAGTTAGACTTAAGTTTTCTCTAAAACTTATTGCTTTCTGTGTAAAAGAGCATATCTAATAGATTTTTAAGGCCAATAGTTTTTTTAATATGACTGTATTAGTATTAATATTAGATGTAAAAATTAATAATTTCACATGTGGGGCAAATTTGGTTGTTTTGCTTTGGTCCTTTTCATGGAAAAATCATGGTGAATCCATTATATTTATTGTGTAGATATGGGTAAGTAACCTTGAATACTTAGAGAATATATCATTCTGTGGGCATTTTTATAAAGCTTGGATACTATGAATACTGATTATAATTCTATAGACAAATCTAATTTTTATTTTGACTTCCCAAAAAACTCTATTCTTTTTCTTAGTTCCACTTGCCTCTCCAGATGCATCAGCAGAACTTCAAAACAAGTTTACAGAATACATGTCTTTTATACACCAATATGATTCCAGGAAAACTCCCAATGAGCCCATCCGGGGAAAGGTAAGACTTTATTTAGAATTAGTTATTTAATACATTAACAGGTGTGATGGCCAGCATCTCATTGGGGGGTTCTTCTTCCTGCCGAGGAGAATGTAAGCCACCCTAAAACTTAAAAGTCTAATACTTAATGAATAACAAAACACAAATATTCAGAAATATATTTACGATAGTGAAGCCCCTGATTGATCTAGTCCACATGGGTTCTGGAGCTAGACAGACAAAAGATGGCTCCAGTGGTTTATTAAGGGGGTGCATTAAAGGCAAGGATAAGGTTTCAAGGGTGGAGTTTTGCCTTGAGATGTCTTTCAGTCAGCAGGTTGATCGACATCTTGGCAGGTCACACCCATCTCAGGTGCCGTGGGAGCCATGGAAGAGTGGAACAGAAATTCACACTGTCCCTGAGCAATTGACCAGAGAAAATGTCCACTGGTCATTCCCAGACACCAGATGTTTCCATTCACTAGGCTTCCATGGGCGGTGACCCACATGCAATCCATGGACAGCTCATGACAATACATTAAAGCAGAATAGATTTATGGTAGAATATAAAGCCTTTGGAAGTCATAATCATCTTTCTAAAAGGTTATTTAAACAAACTAACCTAGTTGTTAGTAGGATAGAATCCCAACCACATGCATAGTAAAAAGCAAGGAATGATGTCATAATTTGGAATCATAGTTTGGGAATTTAATTTATTTAAATAATTAAAATTATTTGCTTAAGATAATATCAAAGCAGTTAATAAACAATTTTTGATATTCTTAATGTGCATGTGGGGCAGGGGGATGCAAATCAGGTTATAAATCCAGATAGAAATGTAATAGTGAGTAGTTGGATTTTTTTCAACTACAGATGTTTGCTTTTATATTTCATTATAAGTAAACCTTTTGTTGGAACTCATAGACATTTGGGACATGATCATAAATTCTTAGATCTATGAACTGTTTCTGTTGTATCCATAGTAACCTATACAACAAGAAATAATATTTGATATGAATAGCCTTAAACAATCCAAATGACAGAAAAGTTGAGAAATGGGAGATAATGAAATATTTCTTCTTTGACTTTCTACTGCTTTTTCCTTCCTGCTCATTTTCTGGCACACCCTATTTTGTAATTTATTTACAAGTTTAGCCAATAAATATTATGGTGATGTCTTTAGTTTTGGACGAAGGAGACAGCCAATGAAGAAGCAGAGAAGTAAGTGCCTGCCTCACCAGGACTTGACCTAACCAACAAACTCAGCTGCGTCTTCCGGTGATTTGTGTTCCCCTGTTAATGTCAACTTTGTTTTCCTTTCCAGAGACTTGGAACTTTTGTGCAGAGAGAGATAAAACCAGGGAGTAGGCCAATAGTTCCTAAGGGAACAGAGGTATTACTGAATGCTCCGGGGCGGTGTTCATCAGAACAGCTCGAAAAAAACAGAGAAAGGAAATCCAGCGGGAAGCAGAATGATCTCACCAGGTCTCTGCCAACAAAATTCCCAAGAGCTGTTAGAGACTTAAAACTCACTTATCAGAAACAGACGTCGGACAGGCAGCCAAGGCATGCCCCAGAAGCCCTGAGAGGAGAGAAGACGCAACTATAGGACATTCTCTTCTCACCAGGCCAAAGCCTTTAAAGCCACCAATAAAAAATCAGGATAAGTTGCCTTCTTTAGATAAAAACATAATCACTGGAACGTAGAGAAATTTCGCAATTATCATGCAGGCCCTGGTGCCTCAGAACATATAGTTTACATAAATAGGAAAAAGAAAAAAAAAAAAGATAAAATACCTCCAAATGTGAAGAGTGAACTCCATAAGCGACAGATTATGAGACATTATTTCTATCACATTATTTATAAACAAAAAAATTTTGTTTTGTACAAAATTAATGTTATTAAATAATATAAAATTGTTAAAGGAGAGGCCCTATGAGACATCCATTAGTTATAGCTCTAGAATCAAAACGAACTGGGGTTGGATATTGGTTCCACTTCATAGGAGCTGTGTAACCTAGAATAAATTACTTAACCTCTCTAGACTTCGGTTTTCTCATCTGTAACATGAAGAAAATAGCAATTTCCTAAAATTGTTGAGCATGAGATAGTAATGTATGTTGATCAAAACGTGGTCCCGTAATCGCATTATTACGATTACTAAATTAAAATTTCAACTTAAGGATAATGTAAATTATAAATTTAAATTTTCCTATAAATTTAAGTTTTCCTCCTTTTTCTAAACTTAGAACTCCTATGTGTTTCACAATTAAGAGTGTGAACAATCTAAAAACATTTCTGCCAGTACAAGATATACACATACAAACACACCCTGCCTTTCTTTATAGATTACATGGGTACTTAGGATATAAAAATATTTCCTAAATTATTGTCTATTTTACATAGATCATTTCTAACACTAATTAAGCCTTTAATTTTTGGCTGAGTTTGGTAAGGATGAACTCTACCAGCTATTCTAATTTGGTGTATTTGATGTGCCATAGTGTATCCACTATATGTTGTGTTACATATGAATAGAAGTGGGTGAACTATTGCTCTGCTATAACGAGTATTTCTGGATTTCCATTGGATGCTTCTCACTATTATCTGCAGTACTGAAAAGACTAGCTTTTTCTTTATCCCTTTATCCTCTTTCCACTAAAGAAATTTTAGTAGACTGCAAAAGAATGAGTGCCCTCAGGATGTATTTGTGTGTTGGGGACTTCTGGATCTTACAACATGGCAAACTAAAACTAATGGTGAATCCCTTCTATTACAAACACCTTGAAATCCTGAATAAAAGGTTTGGATAACAAACAAATATATAACCAAACTCATACAACAGTAAAACTTTCATATTCCAAAAGAGTGAATTTGCTCATTTCTGTGTCAATATATATCCTGAAGCTCTTTCCTTGTCAATACATGCATACTACCTTCTTATGTTAATAGATTTCCAACCTTCGTGGTACAGATGTACTGCTATATAACTGCAATAATAATAATGAAAGCTTTGATGTGGGAAGAAGGGAAAGGAAGGTAAACAGTCTGGGAAAAGGTCTTAAGGGCTAGGAATTTAATTTTTTTAAATATTTGTTTTTTAGTTGTAGGTGGACACAATAACCTTTATTTTATTTTTATGTGGTGCGGAGGATTGAACCCAGTGTCTCATGCGTGCTAGGTGAGCGCTCTACCACTGAGCCACAACCCAGCCCGGGACTTCAATTTTAATCCACATTTGAACAGGGATAGAACCTTATGGTTTCCAAGGTAGAGAGAGAGTTGAAGCATGTGTGAAGCGAGACTCTCGAACAACTGACCTGTCAATACAAGGCAGGCTCCATTCCACAAGACAGCAAGAAAGTTTACCTCTACCTGAAGCTATAGATAGTGAGAAAGTAAAACCCTGTTTATGCCACATTCCAGTTTGCAATATGAATTTACATGTAGGATTTCTCATAGTACACAAAATTAACATAAAAATCCTGCTAGTGCTATCTCTGAGGTATCCGACAAAAGCAAATACAAATTCCCCTAGAGAGATATTTCTGTGATTCTCAGGAAAAAAAAAAATCTCCACTAAAAATAAGGTCACAATCAAAAATAACAAATCATACAAAGAAGAAAAGCAAACAGAGCAAGAGTCTTCAGTGCACAGAATGATTCAAACTTCAGAACCGGAGATAAGAGAATCAAAGCACTTTGGAATAGAAGATCCATCCTCCCTACCCACCCTGCTACCCCAACACTCTCCACCTCTCCTTATCCACTGACTCTTAGCTTCAGCTGTCAGACCTCCCCTCCCAGTAGGCGTCTCTGCCCATATGTTGGGCTTTTGTTTTCTTCAGTTTGATTGTCCCAACATTTGTTCTCTTGTAATATATTTCAGAATTTACTTAAAATCTACTCTTTTTGGTCATAAGTTTCCTGGTTTTCTAATTTTATTAAAATGGATTTTATTATCTGTATTTATCTACAGGCATTTTTATGAGATTTAGGGGGCACCAAGCAGCAAATGTGTACGTTCAGTCAGCCATCATGAGTCAATCTCTAATTCTCTATTAAGTAAATTATATGCAAACTTAATTAAGTTTAACCATTAGTAAATATCACAGTCTCTGCAGTGGACCTCCAGGTTGACTAATACTTATCATTGAGGACTGACAGAGTCTTTCTGTCCTAGAGAATGCATTAGCGATAGGAGGAGGACATGGAGTCAAACAGCCCTGTCAGTGAGCTACTATCATAGCCTTGGTTGGTTCTCAAACTTTTCAAATATGAGGACATCTTTTCTAATATTTTTTTAAATATTTTTTTTTAGTTGTAGATGGACACAATCCCTTTATTTTGTTTACTTTTATGTGGTGCAGGGGATCGAACCCAGTGCCTCATGCATCCTAGGCAAGTGCTCTACCACTGAGCCACAATCCCATCCCTAATACTTTTTTTTTTTTTTTTTATTAATTGTGCCAGGGATTGAACCCAGGAGCACTTAACCTCTGAGCCACATCCCTATTCCTTTTAAAAATATGTTTTCTTATTTTAATACAGGGCCTCACTAAGTTGCTTAGGGCCTTGCTAAGTTGATGAGGCTGGCTGTGAACTCACAATCCTCTTGCCTCAGCCTCCCAAGCTGCTGGGGTTACAGGTGTGCACCACTGCACCCAGGAAGAATATCTTTTCTTTTTTCTTTTTTTTTTTTTTGCTCTTTTTTTTTTTTGTTAATTTTTTAAAATTTATATGACAGTGGAAAGCATTACAATTCATATTACACATATAGAGCACGTTTTTTCATATCTCTGGTTGTATACAAAATATATTCACACCAATTCGTGTCTTCATACATGTAGTTTGGATAATGATGACCATCACATTCCACCATAATTTCTAACCCCATGCCCCCTCATTCCCCTCTCACCCCTCTGCCCTATCTAGAGTTCTTCTATTCTACCCATGCTCCCCCTCCCTACCACACTATGAATCAGCCTCCTTAAATCAGAGAAAACATTCAGCATTTATTTTTGGGGATTGGCTAACTTCACTTAACATTATCTCCTCCAACTCCATCTATTTACTTGCAAATGCCATGATTTTATTCTCTTTTATTGCTGAGTAATATTCCATTGTGTATAAATGCCACTTTACATGAAAAAATGTTCAGCATCGCTGGCAATTAGAGAAATGCAAATCAAAACTACTCTAAGATTTCAACTCACTCCAGTCAGAATGGCGGACATTTTGAAGACAAGTGTTGGCGAGGATGTGGGAAAAAAGGTACACTCATACACTGTTGGTAGGACTGCAAATTGGTGCAGCAAAGAACATCTTTTCTATATTAAAAAATGCTTCTGGCTCCTCACAAAATAGTAATTGAATTTTCAATATCCATAGTTTGAGAAAATGCATAATAACAAAATGCAGTGATTACTGCCATGTTCAATTCTCTGTTTTGTTTTTTTTTAACTGTGAAGGGTGTTTCTGTCCAAAATGAATTCCATAGTCTATATTAAAGTCATAACTGCCTGTCAATACAAATAATGCTCTTAATTTCACAAGAATTTGAATGTCTCCGTGTAATTCCCTCATCAAGTATTTTCATAGAATGATAGCTTTTACAAGGATATAGGATTTCTTCCGAATTATCAAAAAACCAAAAATCAAACCAAGTCCATATAATTTAGTATTTTAAAACACCTTAGTGAATGTATTAATGCTTTTCAACCCTAACAGTGCTATTAATAATAACAAAAATTTGTGTAATATGGTTAATAACAAAAATTTGTGCAATATGGTTTAAGTGTTATGTTCAAATTTATTAACTCATTTGATCCTTAAAATAAATCCTATAAAGCAGGGGAAATAATAGCATTCCAATTTTACAGCTAATAATAAGCTCAGAGAACATAAATGATTTCTCCAGCTGTATAGTTAACAGAGCTACGACCAGAACCAGAGTTTCTCAATGCCCAGTCTAGTTCATTAACTCACAGATGTCAACCCACAGGAAAATGCTAGCCCATTACAAATGAAAATACAAGGTCAATGCAAGAAGTATCAAAACAAATATTTTCAATATTTTTATTGAGAGACTAATTTTACTGCTTTAGGGGATTTAAAATGTTCTGTTGGACTTATTATCACTATGATGGACTAAATGAATATGGGGAAAACCCCTCATTCCTAACAGATAAATAAATACTGTATAAAATATAACAAAAACATTAAAATGTATACAGCTAAATACTAAAACAAATTAAATCCCTCAGGTCAGAAGTGAAAAACAAACAAACAAAAAAAACACTGATCAAAAAGTGAGTCTAGGCACCTGGCACAGTGACACACCTGTAATCCCAGCGGCTCTGGAGGCTGAGATAGGAGGATCTTGAGCCAGCCTCAGCAAGGGCGAAGGGCTAAGCAACTCAGTGAGACCCTGTCTGTAAATAAAATACAAAATAGGGCTGGGGGTGTGACTCATTGGTCAAGTGCCCCTGAGTTCAATCCCTGGTACCAAAAAAAAAAAAAAAAAAAAAAAGGTAGGGGCTGGAGTTATGGGGTAGAGAGCTCTACTGGTATGTATGAGGCACTGGCTTCGATTTCCAGTACCACATAAAAATAAACAAAATAAATGTATTGTGTCCATCTATAACTAAAAAAACAAA